GCCACACCGGCGCCAAACAGCCGTGCCTCCCAGGCCCTGCTTGTTGTGCCTGTACAGGGCACCCAGGAACCCCCAGACTACTGGGGAGCTTCCGTGAGGCCTCCTCGCACCCCTACAGCCTCACCCAGTCCTCCGGTGTAACAATAACAACCAAGAAACATAAAACCATAAGCCGACCGGCTACAACACAAATAACCCTCCTGGCTGGTCTTATATAAACGAAACACAAGCTATGAGCCAACCGGCTACAACATATGCTCCACGCTGCCCTGGCTACTCCTCATCTCCGTCGGGGCCTCTCCTCTCCACACCATTCTCCAGACTATCAGGCAGTAAGGCAACCAGGCTGGTTTATTCTGCCTTACTCTGCTTTGCTCTACAGCAGAGCTGTTACTCCTTTGGCTGCCAGAGGGGAACTGCTCTGGCCTCAGCCTCTTCTGTTTATGGGCCAGGCCCAGCCCCTGGCAGTCAGCTGACCCAATCAGCTGCCCTAGCAACCGCCAGCTGTGTTGTCCTGTTGATTGGCAGCTAAGGCCTCTCACCAATATCAGTAGCAGGCACCCTAGTGTCTGCTACACTCCTCCCCCCTTAAGTTCTTAACTCTCAGTAGGAGCAGGGCACGCAAGTGCCCTGCGACAGGGAGTTTCAATATTCCCTCCCTCTCCTAAAATTAAAACAAGCCAGAGAATGCTGTGGAAGCTGAAACCAGTCATCTCATCTGAGGCCTCATGACTTAAATACTACTGTTTCGGTATTATGAAGTGGACGTGTACGAACTGGGGACCAACTTAGAAGATTTTGCTGTGAATTAATAAATATTTTTAATGCAAGGCAGTTAAGTGCCTATAAAACGCATGTACTTTATTGCTAGAGAACTGTATATGTATATATAAATATAGATGAATGTGTCCTTACCATGTGATCCACTTTTATCCAAAAAGTTGCTGAGATTGAATAGTGTATTTCTAGATGCCAAATACTGAATAAATCTCTGCAAGACAGAAAAACAGTGAAAGTTCTACCCCTTTCCAATAGCTTCCTTATACTTCACATCTGGCTCTGCACAAAACAGGTGGAACAAGCCTCACCCAAGTTACACTCAGAACTGTATACACATATTGGAAGATTCAATCCAATAAAGATGGGTGCAAGGCACGACTCTGGATCCAGA